ATAATATCTAGCTATGTCTGGTGATTCCCAATAAGGATAAAACTAGAAATGTAATGCATCCTGGTGGCCAATGTACAAGATCCATTTGGTGCTGCCATCAGCTGGACATTCCAATTATTCTGCAAAAATAATTTTAAATAGTCTTTGTTAGCAACTGTTTCATTGATGTTTGATGTCCAGGGTTCTTTGGAGCCTGGACACCTGCTTTTAAAACTGTGTTCTCAATTGTTTTCAGGGAAGGTATTTTTTGCCAAAAGTAGTTTAAAATATTTTGCTGTCTAAAGTGGGAAATTCAAAATAGCATATATAGTAGGTTATAACAATTTTTTTTTTAATGCTGCTGCTTTTTAATTGCAAATAAGACCATCCTTTTTCCTCTGGCCTTTCTCGGAGAAATAGTGGTTAGTTTTCCATAATAACCAAAGGTGTTTGAGTGAGAGATCAAGCTACCAAATCTGTTGTGACATTGCAGCACAACCTCTACCCCTTAAATTTTTCCATCAATCATCACAATAAAGTACAAAAGAGTGGTATTTGCATTTGACATCAAGCCCATACTTTGTCACAATAGTTAGACCTCTGATAATTGGGGCAATGCTATGTTTTTTGTTTTATTTTGTTTGTAGGGGAAAGGGACAAATCCAGGCATTTCTTCTAGTATGAAAATTAAAGTTTTAAAAGCAATGTTACTCTAGTGATTATGATGAAAGTCTTTGTTCCTGTTGTGGATATAATTATCCACAATTATAATACCCATTGAGAATTGCTCCTTAAATAACACCCTATCCTTCTCCTCTCTCCTCTTGGGATATTTTTCAGTGTTGTCATATTTGAAAGTGACTGTTGTGATCTCCCGTGTGTGTTCAGCTAATCAGCATTCCAAAATATATCAAAAGTGGGGGGGGGAGGTTTAGAGGAGAGGAACAGAGCTCCGTTGTGTGTAATAGTTTCCCTGTTCCTGGTATTTCCAAATAGAAGACTTCTTAAATAAAGGATCAACACATAGAGGACAATGTTAAGCAGAATGGAGTAGTTCTCAGGAATGCTTTAACACTGTGTTTCCTACATCCAGCAGGGACCCATCCTAATAGGCATCCAGAACCCTATTTTAAATTCTTTGCAGGGAGATCCTTCTAAATTCTGACACCTCAAATAGCAGTACCTCTGCAAGGTAGCTGACATTCCCCTCAAATTTGCCCATTGCCTTTTAAAATCTCTCTGCTTCAGTCACAGTATGATATTATGTAATGCCTAATAGCAATTATTTTGCTGTTTTATTAATGGGCTTTCCCTAGTCTGTTACCTCCTCCTCTTCCTGGAAGAATGAATAAAACATGAAACAAACAAAACAAATACTGGTAATTAATTGCCAATGCAATGAAGGCCAACATTACAGCTGTAGAAGAAAATGACCCATACTTTTCTGTTAAGAGTTAATTGTTGACCCTAGTATAATGTTAAGTTTGATTTGAAATATCACAATAACTATTCAGCACCTGCATATAAAAATTGTATGATCAGTGTAAGTAACATTTGGTACACATTTTCCAGCTGCTATTTAGCTTGCACCATAAGAACACTAGGGAAAAACATGCAAAAAAATTCTCTAAAAAGTTCTTCCTAGAGCATTTTTTAAGAGCAAAACTGGGTGGATTCACACAGATATAGACAGTAAACCTCCCAAGCATTTGGAAACCTCAGAAAAATTTGAATTTAGAAGCCAATGTTCTGGTTCCCAGGGATTTGTGGAGGATTAGACTGAATATTTGCACTGCTTCCTTTATGCTAGTGGCTGTCTCAGAGTGATTCTGCATGGTAAGGCCATTCCAAGCCACCTGGACATTCTGTGAATGCTTGTTGGCTGGTTCACACAGAGCCAGGAGCAGAATGAAGTCCTGGAGTCCTCACTTTTGACCTAGTTCACTCTTGGAAGCATAGCTGGCTTATCCCACAGCATATCATCTTTTGTGACTGAAGCAGGTTGTGACTGAAGCTTGTCTGGATCTTTATTCTCATTTTGCTCTACTTTTACTGGGTCTGTAGTACAAATCAGATACTGAATTCTTCTATTAGGATTTTGCTGTGCTCATCTGAAGGCCAAGAAATTTACAGTTTTTTGGTTTTACCCTAATGCTTCCTAAGATGCATTGCAATTTTATTTTAATGTGACACTTTCACTAGTAGTGAGAAGTGGCCTTTAAGCACTTTCCTAATCTAAATTTGTTAACCTGTTTCTATAAGGTAAAGTAAGGTAAGGTAAGGTGATGAGATGAGATGAGATAAGATATAAGATAAGATAAGATAAGATAACCTTTATTGTCATTTTTTTACTGTGGGCACAACGGCACACATCAAAAATGAAATTTAGTTGCCTGCTCTTGAAGTGAAACACATACATGATATTGCTGCTACTGGATTTCCATGTGTGAAAACCATGTTACACCTTAAGGGATGGTATGAACTGTTAATAGTGCAGATATTGATAACATCTGCATTTAGTCTGCTAAGTAATCGCTATTTTTCTGAGGTTATACAGCAAGAACCCAGGAATAATCAAGATAAAGCCCAACGAAACATAGTAATCAGCAAACAAAGTTGAAAAATGTAAACCCTATAATAAGGGGTCCTTGGTGCTTTCTGAGCTTGTTTGTTTTCTTGCAGACTTTTCATTACCCTAACTAGGTAACATCATCAGTGCTAATAAGGCGTGCTGTTTGCTGTCAGTTTATATTCTGGTGTCTTGCCTGCCTGTGTGGGTGGGGAGTGGTCTTAGGAATTTTTTAGTAGGGCTGTTTACTAATGACTCTTTGGCAGTTTCTTGATTAGAGTATTACTTACTTGATGGTTGGTCTGAAGGTGACCTTGGAGTTAATCTATGCTGATCTGAATGTTGATCATTGGTGGGAAGGTGTTGGAGTCTTTTTCTCTTTTGGGCTCATTAAACTGACAGCAAGCAGCACTCCTTACTAGCACTGATGATGTTACCTAGTTAGGGTAATGAAACATCTGCAAGAAAACAAGCAAGCTCAGAGAGCACCAAGGAGCCCTCATGTCAATCCTGAGCTACAAATATTTTCCTTCATTGGAACCCTATAATAATCAAGAGGAAAGGAATACAGGTAGTTCTTGACTTACTTTGAAGTTACAATGACACCGAAAAAAATAAATTATGACTGCTTTTCACACTTACAACTGTTGCAGCAGCCATGTGATCATGTGGTTAAAATTTGGGCACTTGGCAACCACTATGTATTTACAACAGTTGCAGAGTCCCGGGTCATGGGGTCACCATTTGTAACCTTCCCAGCTGGCTTCCAAAAAGCAAAGTCAATGGGGGAAGTCAGATTCACTTAACAGCCACACGATTCACTTAACAACTGCAGTGAATCACTTGACAAAAATGTCATAAAATGGAGCACAACTCACTTAACGACTATCTTGCTTAGCAATGGAAATGTTGAGCTCAATTGTGGTCATAAGCTGAGGACTACCAGTACATGATCTCACAACTAGCTCCCTATCTCTTAATGGTCTTAAGTGAATGCCTTATGAAATCAACCTTGAAATACGTAAAATGAATTAATTTCATATTTCTTTTCTGCCTAACAAATAGTATTGTGGAAGACTGCATCGTTGTGTTACTCTGCCACCAACACAAGTTGGTTCGGTGGAGCAGATTGCCTTCTCTGTTTTGTTATCAGCCTTCCCAGCCTTTGTGACCCTTTAGATGTGTGAACTTTGACTCCTTGGATTCTTTAGTCCAGTGGTTCTCAACCTGTGGGTCGGGACCCCATTTGGGGTCGAACGACCATTTCACGGGGGTCGCCAAACAAGGCTGTCCGCCATTTTTTTCCCTTTTCTTTGGCCACGCCCCTGGCACCCAGTGATGTATAAGTGGTTGGGGGTCACCACAACATGGGGAACTGTATTATGGGGTCACAGCATTAGAAAGGTTGAGAATCACTGCTCTAGTCAGCACACCAGAAGGGGCCCAGACTAAGGAAGGGCGATCTTTTTAGTTTATCCCATCTAGAGGCATTTGTTTTTATGGTTTCTGGGTATGCCTGCTTATTTTTTTTTCTCCAGCATATAGGTAGTCCTTAACTTACAACAGTTCATTTAGACATCATTGGAAGTTACAGCGGGCACTGAAAAAAGTGATTTATGACCATTTTTCACACTTGTAGCCTTTGTAGTCTCCTCATGATCACGTGATCAAAACTGAGATGCTTGGCAACTGGTTCACATTTATGAGGGTTGCTGTGTCCCGGGGTCACGTGATCACCTTTTGTGGCCTTCTGGCAAGCAAAGTCAATGGGGAAGCCAGATTCCTTAACAACTGTGTAACTAACTTAACAATTGCAGTGATACTGTGGCAACTGTGGCAAGAAAGGTCGTAAGATGGGGCAAAATTTGCTTAACAACTGTCTCGCTCAGCAACATAAATTTTGAGCTCAGTTGTGATCATAAGTCGAGGACTATCTATAGGTTTCTCCCCAGCTTATTTCTCATCTTTTTTCAACAGCACAGATGAGTTTTAATATTAAGTTCTTAATGCTATTCCACGGCAGCCTCTCTCTCCACCTGATACTCTCCAAATGAGTAGGAAAACAGTACCGTAAATGCCGGCGTACAAGGCGACCTGGCGTATAAGACGACCCCCGTCTTTATAGCCGGGCCGCATTCCTAGAACGTCGTCTTACACGCCGGAAACTACCAGTATTTCCGGTGTATAAGACGACTCGGCGTATAAGACGACCCCCGTCTTTGGCGCCGATTTCAGCGCTCGCGGAAGTCGTCTTATATGCCGGCATTTACGGTAATTCCCAGGCTGTGCAAGTGGCCTAATCATTGGCCACTGCTTTAAGATGTTGCGCATTTAAACTTTGCTTTGGCTGTGCCTGCCCTTTTTATTATCATAATGTTTCTTCTTATGTTTGTATGCCTATTTCCTTCCTGATCCTACCTCCGCTTTCACGGACTTCCAATGCTTCCTTCAGCAACCAGATCTGGTTCAAATTCAAAGGGCTGCAAAGGTATTTTCAACAGGGTTGTCGACCCTTCCCTTTTAAGTAAGGAAACACCTTATTTAAAAGGACCTTGTGTTGTCACTTAACTAGACTAATCAAATACCAAATGCCAAATCTAGTCTAAACATCTGGCTGACTGTGTGACCTACCATAATAATAATAATGCATTTCTTCCATGAGCTTTGTTACTTAGACCAGGCATCCATTTACCCTATCTGAAAAACAATGTTTGAATGGGCTGATTTATATTTCATTGTCATTTTCTCGTTTCCTAAGCCAGGATGGCCAATGGGCATCCTGCAAAATAGGCAGTGGGTGTTCCTTTCTGTTTCTATTCTGTCTGTGTCAATTCTGCGTATTCTTACTCATCATTCCACCCAAATTAATTTTTATATGAGTGTAATGCATATTTAAATATGAATATGGCTCAAAGCCTAGATGAAAAAGATTAGTATAATCCATTTATGGCACGAAGAACTGTGTGGTATTGTTTGAAGATGTACAAAATTGAATGGATAGCTAAACCACAATCTCTGCCTTATTATTTCAAAAAGAATTTTAAAAAATAAATTCCTATTTCATGAATAGGAATATGTTTGGCTTCACGTTGCAAACCTGAATTGCCTCCCAACAAATCTGAATCATAATGAGTGTAGAAAATCATTTTGCTTTGGCTATCTCCATAAATACTTCTGCCAAATTTTGTCATATCTCCTTTTCTAGAAATTCAAAAGAGCACTGTAGTTCTATTGCAAGAAAAGAACCAAGACTGTTAGGGAGCTTTTCTTTCTTCTTCTCTTAACAATGTGCTACTTTTGAGATATATTGGGATTGCAATTCCTAGAATCCCAGCCAAAGGTCATGCTGGTTGAAAATTCTAGAATTAGTCTCCCAGAGGCACCTGAAAATACTGCTGGAAGTCTTAGTTTTCATGAAGTTTTCTGGTCAACATGTAATACAGAATGTGCCCCCCAAATAGAGATTTGACCTAAGCCAATGGGCAGGAGGAACAGAAGCAAAATCTTTGGGGAAAACTGGTAATAATGATGGATGGAAAAAGTAATTTGACCAATTTGTTCTCACTGATATTATTTTGCTTTTGTGTTTTCCAGGGAAGGAGATTGGTGGCTGGCTCACTCCCTCACAACTGGCCAGAAAGGTTACATCCCCAGTAACTACGTCGCACCTTCAGATTCCATCCAAGCAGAAGAGTAATTAAAATATTATAAATAGACTGAAAAGAATTATGTTAAGCCTTTTATCAGATATTATTGACAAAATCATTCTAGTTATAACCATTTGAGGGCAACCCTCAAATCATTTTGTAATTCTCTTAAACAGAGTTCCTGAGTATGTGACTTTGGCTAGTTCACAAATATGTATATTCTCTAGATAATTTTCAGTGTCAAATGGTGTGTTTATGGACGGTAGGAAGAACTTTTAGTTGCAGAAAACACATTGTGTTTCAAGAGAATGAGTTCCCACATTTAGATTTACTTCAAAAATAAAAAAATATAGCAACAATCAAGAAGCTTTTTTTTTGGCATTTACTAAGGTGCTGATAGATGCAAATTTATGAGATAGCTTAAGCCATGCTCCATCTCAGGTATATTCTGTACTCATTTATTTAAAACCGTATTTTCAACAACTTTCTCAATATCAGGAATGATATTGCTAATCTTATTGTGATGGGAAGGAGAATTCCAACTGACATTCTTAGATCAGCTTTGAAAATATATAGCAAATTAGCAGGCATATTAATTTAGGAAACTTTTAAAAGCTGGGGGAACTGATATACATTATTGGTCTATTCCTTCAAGTCTAAGATTAAAGAGATTCTGGGAAATTATGCTTTATTTTTATTTTATTACTAACATTTTTATAGGGAGAATCTAGAAAACTGAGCTGGAGGAATCCCAGACTTTTCAATAATACTTGGCAACTGGGGGTAGCTTCCAAAGCAGATATATGAGTCTGAAAGAAGACGTCATTGCTTTAATGATTTGAAAAGAGATCTTCATATGTGCTCCTTTGCATTATGAAACCCTTCTTTCAAAGGAATTGTGTTGCCTCAGCATTTAGTGGCATGCTGCCTAAAGAGAAAATTACCTGCTGATAGGCATAATAAATTGATTTAGTTTCTTTTTATAGTAATCAGTATTTTGTATCAGTGAGATAGTCAGTATTGATTTTGCATTATTATTGCCTTTCACCTGGCTATATTTGTGAACGGTTGATTTCAGCGTAGCAGGATAGCTACTTCTATGGAGGTTATTATATTTTATAGCATCTTGGTGTTTACTGCTTTTTCATTTAATGCTTCTGACACCAACTGGAAGGTTTAGAGCTTAATGTGCACAGTACAAAATGATTAGATCAGATTAAAACATATTTGAAAAACTGTGAAACTGGAACATCAATATATTCAAGAAAAGGATTCCTAATATATCAAAAATGGATCCCTAATGTGTCAACTTTTCAAGAATAAGACTATTTCATGAGAGGGGCCAATTCAATGTTTACATGCTATCTCCTACTTGAATTCTGATATCTTAGAATCTTACAAACTTGGCAATGCGAGGTCTAGAAATGCAGTGATGTTAACCCATTCCCAAATGCTTTACCCATCCCAAAATAGCATTTAATATTCTTCCACATTAAAGTAATTTAAAATGTGTAAATTCTCAAAAGCTCACATTGTTGTAAATCTTGTTTTCAGATGATGCAATATTTTGAAGGTGCTGAAATCTAATGAGGTTTTTAATCATTGTCAATCTATATTTTTGCTATCTAGAATGCAGCTGAAAAATATTAGCATTCTTTCCTGTTGACTAAAATTACTTTGGCATGACCTTTAACCTTTGGAGGCTACATATTTATAGGAGAAAATATTGGATTCCTCTGTCTGCAGAAATGTTTGCAGTGATTTAAATGAAGATGGGAACTTGCTACATTTATTTATATTCTACTATTGCAGATGGTATTTTGGCAAGATAACCCGCCGAGAATCTGAACGATTACTGCTCAATCCAGAGAATCCCCGAGGGACTTTTTTGGCAAGAGAGAGTGAGACCACAAAAGGTAATAATCACTGGAAAAGCAAAGGATGCTTACGGGGAGAATGTATTAGAAATTCAATCTTCTATTTCAATGGAGACAATAGAATTCTCTCTCTGCCTGTAGAAATATGTTTCCCAAACTTCTAATGGTTAAACCACACTCTTCACCTACCCTCCACTATATTCAAACTGGGGATTATCTCTCATTCACCCTAAATATTGGCAATTTCTCAGTGGTCATGGGCTGTAATTAACATTTTAAATGCAAGAACTCAGCATGGATGTGTCAACATCATACACACTGGGGGGCTCGCAGTTTTCTGTTGTTTTCTAGAGATGAGGAAGAACTTGGATTCTTTATCTTTTAAGACCTGTGTTAATGTCTGTGTCTGTGTTACACATTTTGCAGCTCCCAGAACTTCCTGTTATTTCAAAGCAGAAAATATAAAAAGGGGTATTTTATATATTTTCAGATTGCAGTAACTAGAATTGAAGAAGCCCTGAAGTATGAGGCAAAGGAACCCCATGAATGGGTTCTCTGTTAGGTTTCTGTTGATGCCATTTGTCTGAGGCAATGAAAAGCAATTATCTGCATAGTTAATATGGGTTACCCTAATTTAAGATGATAAACTATTGCAACTGAGGGAAGTTAGCCCCCCAGAAGGAAATATTAAAAAGGAAAATATATTTTTCCTTAAGGATTTTTTTAAAAAGTATTTTTTGAAAAGCAGAAACCAAACCTGGCCCCAAATTTCTTTGCCTCAAGCAAGAGCTAGCCTCATAGAAATGCAGATATAAGACCATTAGGAAGTTGGAGCCAGGGAACTCAAGACAAAGAAACTCTTAAGAGTCATTAGCCCAGCCCCAGAGAAGCAGGAGATGACTTTTGGGATATAATCGGACTAACCCATTGCCATCAAATATACCGTAGAGGCACACCTAAACTCAGGTCAGAATACGTGACACAGGAAATAGCCTCAAAGTTCAGGACACAGGAACAGGAAACTTCCAAACAAAAGACTAGAGGGGGTATAAAAATCTACTACACCATGTGCTCAGCCCTTCTCTGCTCTTTCCTGAAGAACCATCTTTCTGCTTCTTCAATAAACTGTAACCTTCTTCCCAAAGCAGTTGCCATGTTTGCTTATTTATTCCCGGCTTGGATGAACCAGGATGAAGACTTTACTTCTAACACAACCATGTAAATAATGGTTAAACTTGTTTTTAAAAGTAGGCAGTAGTAGTGTAGAGGAAGATTTCAGACTTGGGGTCTTGGAGCATGTATTGTCTCTCCAAGGGTTTTCTTTTCTTGCCTGATATACAGTATAATGGCAAGCAATAATCACAAGAGGTATGCCGTCTCTTATGTTAATAGCATACTTATTGTCCCTGTTTGTCCATTCTCTCTATACAGTACATACAGTTGATTCTGTCAAGGGGACTGCATCTTCTCTATCTCCCTCTTGTATACTAGTGTGAAGGGTGGAGAACTGGATGGGATTTAAATGTAAACAGAGACTTTAGTCCTGTACTTCTCTTTTTTTTAAAAAAAAAAAAAACATACTGTAGAAACTAGGTCACTGGATGGGGAAATAGCTGGGTAACTAATAGCAACAGGAAACTCTGGTTTCTCTTTCTATCCTGCCAAGGAGCTGTTGTTTGTTACATTTATGGAACAAATGTAGAGTTTGTATTTGTGAGTAAAAGAACAGCAACAAACAATGTATATATACCAACCAGAAAATCTACACAAGCACAGAGTTGATTTAGCGTTATCCCTATATTGCATTTTTTAAAATAGTAAAAAAAGCTAAAATTGCAAAGTTTGCGTGTATGTCATGCATATTCAGAGAAAAATAATAAAAGTGGCACAAATTTCAGACTGCTAGGAATCTCAGCTTTTGGTCTGAGTGTATTTTAAAGTCAAGTATTGTTTGTAACTGACGTTGACCTGGCACAAGAGTTCGTACAACATAGCATATTCAGACCATTCATTTGCCTGCCATTATTCATTTAAAGTGAGTTGGATCCAGACATGCTAGACATAGGACTCGAAATTATCCATAAGTGATTTGTCTCATAGATAAAAATAAAACATGTCTAACTTAGTCTGATTTTAATCCACTTTTGTTAGGCAAATTCCCAATGAAAATTATTCAAAATAATAAGATTAAACATCCATTTATAAAAGAGATCATAGACCATGAGTGTGAGTGTGACATGAATAAAAAGATTTGGGCCATTTTTAAAAAAATCTTCATAAATGCTAAAATAGCAATGTTAGAAATCTGTTTTCCTAAAAATTTCTGAGACCTTTACAGGAGTTTCTAAACATTTTCGTGTTAATCGTTTAGATTGTATCTTAATTGTATTAATTGTGGTCAAAGTGTTGCCCATGGCCAGATTTTGGGTTTGGGGTGAAGACACGTGTCATAGAGGAAACAAGGATCTAATTCAGAATTATATATGTTTTGAAAACATTTTGGAATCCTGATTTTTGTGTAATACCCTAAAACTGATACCATAGAGATATTAATAGAGGAGCACTTTTTCCATTTAATTGGAGCATTGAACTAACAGCAAAGGAGAATGCGGTTTTCCCTATAGATTTTTCTGCTTAAGAGTTGTAGCAAAGACCTGCCATCAAGGCCTCCTGTGTGAACCCCATACAAATTAGCTGGTGAGGTTTGACAGGATCAGAATGAAGACTGATTCATCTGCAGGCCATAATTAGAGCAGCCTGGGTTTCTTGGTTGCTTTCTTCAAATATGTCCCTTCTGTATTCCCCTTCCCCAGATCTTAAACCTGCTGTGAAGCTGCTATCCTGGTGACTGTAGCATCAGTATTTGCTTTTATATAAGTGGGATCAAGATGTTCTGCTTTGACAGATTTGCTTGTGTATGCATTCCGTATTTTCCCTATTCTAAAATACCATTGTGAAGTAGAATCAGCAGCTTGCATTGTAGAGCGACATGTAATATACATAAAACATATGACCTAATTGCATGTGTGCTTTGATATGAAGCATTCAGTTATTTGGAGAAGGAAGGAAGGAAGGAAGGAAGGAAGGAAGGAAGGAAGGAAGGAAGGAAGGAAGGAAGGAAGGAAGGAAGGAAATGCACACATACTTACACACAAAATATAGCCTTGTCATCTTGGGTTAATCAGTCTTAATAAATATTGATTGCAAATTATCTATAAGATTGTAGGCTTAAATAGCTCTCACTTTTTCTTTACAGGTGCCTACTGCCTCTCTGTCTCAGATTTTGACAATGCCAAGGGCCTCAATGTGAAGCACTACAAGATACGCAAACTGGACAATGGTGGCTTTTATATCACATCCCGTACACAATTCAGCAGTCTTCAGCAATTAGTTGCTTATTATTCCAGTAAGTGTCATTTCAGCTTCTATTGAGGGCTGGGTTCTCTGCAAAGATCTCTGTCCATGATACCTCAGAATAAGAAAAAGAGTGAATATGTTGGGAGTATATTTGAAAGACATCTCATCAAGTAATCAAGTATTAAATATGAAATGAACAATGAATGATTGCGTTGTTGGATCCAAATTTAATTGTTCTAATGCCTGACCATATATGGCTTTTCTACCTTTGAACTGTCACTGCAAACAATGTGAGATTTCTGTTCATCACTCTTGAAAAGAAAATATAGCATACATTTTGTGACTAATACAGTGATACACTGAATACTGTATATTCAATGTATAAACATTCCTCTGCTGACAAACAGGCTACGTTCCAAGATGCTATTCATAAGTCTACTTTATTCATAAATCCAAACAAACGTAAAAATCACTCTTGCACTTAATTCCAAACATTCACAATCATTACAATAAACCCCACACATAGTCACTACACAACTAAACGACGAGCAGTATACATGAGAATCAGCGACCAGTATGCGAGCGGAAATCAGAAGAAGGCAGAAAGAGTTAGTTATGGCCTACCTTTGCCCAACTTCCAAGAGTTACAGACAGGTTTATTTCTGTGGGTGAAAGTTCATAACTCAAAAGTTTGCAAGTAGAGTAATGACTATACCACCATATTAATAGTCCTCATTTAGTGACTGCCTTATTTAGAGACTTTACAGTTACAACAGTGACCAGTCTGCAGTCAGTAAAGCAAAGGAAAATTGAAATAAGATCATAATATTTTGATGTTTCACAACCGCTTCATTTAATGGCCAAGCTGCTGGTTTCAACTGTGGTTATTAAATGAGGACAACCTATAGGAGATATTCAATCAGAGGTACCTAAGCTGCTCTGAACTGGGGCTCATTTGTTTGCCAAATACTTTATATTGAAACATGAAGTAGAGTAAATATTATAATTCCAGTCAAGTAATGAAAACTTAAAATGGAGATTCAGGCTGGTCTAAAATAAGTAGGTGTTCTTCCATTTTGTAACTGATTTTATTCTTTCATAGAACATGCAGATGGTTTGTGCCACCGTCTTACCAATGTTTGCCCAACCAGCAAGCCTCAGACACAGGGCTTGGCAAAAGATGCTTGGGAAATCCCCCGGGAATCTTTGCGACTAGAGGTCAAACTTGGACAAGGCTGCTTTGGAGAAGTCTGGATGGGTAAGAATTTTCAAGAATGATCATTTTATCTGATGAACAGTGCATTTCTGAAAATGTATTTTCAGGCATGGAAAAATACTTAGAGCAAGCTTTTCACTTTTGACTATCCTATGACTTGGGAGGTGATTGTTGATTTGCTAAGGAATCAGTTGCATTGTTTTATGACTTGCTATAGCAAAAGGTGTAAGGTCAGTTATAACAGCTGTTTTAATAGTATGATATCAGCTGGTGAACTTGCACCAAAAGAATGTGGAATCAGCAGACCCTAAATCTGGTAACTTACATGTTTTAATATCTGAAGAGATTGGTACCTGACAAACTAAGCTTGTACAAGTCATGCTTCTTGTTGAGAAAGCTAATTCTGTTTCTTCTCCAGGGACCTGGAATGGTACCACCAGGGTGGCAATCAAGACTCTAAAGCCTGGGACAATGTCTCCAGAAGCATTTCTACAGGAGGCTCAGGTTATGAAGAAACTGCGCCATGAAAAGCTGGTGCAGCTGTATGCTGTGGTTTCAGAAGAGCCAATTTACATTGTAACAGAGTACATGTGCAAAGGTGCTTACATGTGCTACTATCTGTTCTTCCTATTTCTCAATATGCTTTCTTCTCCTTCCAACTGAAATAGGAAAACACAGACAGAGGAGACATCTGAAACTGGAAGGAAAATATACCGTTGCCTAGCTATATTTATAATTTCTGTGTAACTGGATACAATAGCATGTGAAACATGAAGCTGACTGCTAAAAATGCATTTACACAACTAAAGATGTAGTGTTGTAATTTGGGGCTGAATGAATTCATACACTGCTTAGCAAGCACTGAAGGAACTGTGTGATTGCTTATCACATAGGTAGTTTACGATTCAGTTCTTGCTTAACATGTCACAATAAAACTCAAAATTACACTCCAATTTACATGTGTGGCTAAGTGATAATAATGAAGGGTTTTAGAAAGTTTAATGGTTTCGTGATTTCCCCCTATTTGAATTCCTGACAACTTTCTATTCTACTGTAGGGAGCCTCCTGGATTTTTTGAAGGGAGAGATGGGCAAGTATCTGAGACTGCCCCAGCTGGTGGACATGGCTGCACAGGTGAGTATAAAAGACTTTGCTGCAGATTACTTAGTGCCTCTTTTTCACATCTATACCATGACTCAGCATTTGGGAGGTAGCTCCTGAACTGGTATAGAAAGCAATCTCCTGTTTCCTATATTCTTTCTATTTGATTATGGACATGAGGAGCTCATCCACAAATATGTGAATAAAAATATAGAGCACTCTGCTTGGAATCACCATATTTGGGACATCCCTTGTGAACAGCTTCCTGAACATTAAGATCTGCTGTTAGCAAGAATTTTTCTTTGTCTCCCACCATGAGAAGTAATACATTACTGTTATTTATTTATTAAATTTGTTTGCTGCCATTTCATTGCAATGGATGGTGTGGATCTCAGTGATAGGAGTTTTAATACACTGGATTTGCTGGACCTATGTTGTTGTTTTGTGTAGTTTTAATTGATTGCATGTTATCTAAGATTTATTTATATAAAATGAAATATAACCATTTTAATAAATGCATTCACATCTGAAGATTTTTCTTGTAATTTGAAGTGAATCAGGCCAGGGAAAAATATATGTTGGCTGCATTTAAATAATATAACCTGCTTATTGAATTAATCCATTTTTTAAAATTTTGCAGAATATATTGAATTACAGATTAATCATATAGCTTGGGCATGTGCATCAGATCAAATCACAAAGAAGTATTAACATTAATTAAGCTTTATTGTTGTGTAAATGTAGTTATATAACTTTAACTGACTTAAATACGTATCTTCTGCAAACAATCACAAAGTTCTGAGTGCTTCTAAGTAAGCTATTTACTCTGCAGCAGACGCCTCAGTCATTTTTTAAAAAAATGGTGGTCAGCCTCATCATTAACTATTACATAGTCTGTGTCCTACGCTGATATTTTAAGATCACCATCATAACAAGACTTTACTACACAAATGACTGTAACCCAGAATTTCCCTTGGTGTGAAGTGAATAAGGCTTGTTGATTTGACTAATGCTTTAAGGAGTAAAATCTGCAGAACAAAATTATTGTCAAGCTGCCTCAGACTTCAATTTGCCTTTGGAATGATGTTAGATTGCTTCTGGCATGGCCTACGTGGAAAGGATGAACTACGTTCACAGAGATCTCCGAGCTGCCAACATCCTTGTGGGGGAGAACCTGGTGTGCAAAGTAGCTGACTTTGGACTGGCACGACTGATTGAGGACAATGAATACACAGCAAGACAAGGTATGATCACTCTTTAATCTGTTTAGGTAAAAAATAACTTCTGAAGAATTGCTGTTTCAGAGAGAAGAAGATAGTATCAATAGGATGCAGACATTCTCTCACTCAGCAGAGAATGTTTTCCCGAGAATAAGGCCCACCCAGAAAATAAGCCCTAACCTGATTTTTTTGGCGTGTTCCTAATATAAGCCCTACCCCAAAAATAAGCCCGGGGGGATGGGGTAGGCATGGCCAGCACAGGAGACAGAGAGCATGCAGGGGCTGATGATATGCAGCAGCAGCCACAGTCCATGCAGCTCAGGTAAATTCGAGTGTGGAGACAGAGGCAGGAGGTAGACAGGTGATCTGGACATGCTGCGCGGTCGTCTCGCTTGTGGGAGGCTTGTGCGGTGGCACAGCCAACAGGTGGAAGCAGAGGCACGGGGGGAGGCAGGTGATCCCAACATGCTGCCCACTCCATTCCACCATCTCTTGGCTTGTTCGCAGCCGTGCCGGGGCAGGTGGTCATGTTGCCCATTGGGATCGCCTGCCTCTCCCTCCATGTCTCTGCCTCTGCTGCTGCCGTTGCCACTGTGAGAGCTTCCCACGAGTCAGATGGCCGTGCAGCATGTCCAGATCACCTTCCTTCCCCCTCTGCCTTTACCTGCTGCCAATGCCACCGTGTGAGCCTCCCACAAGCCAGGCAGCTGTGCAGCACATCCAGATCGCCTGCCTTCTCCCTGTGCCTCTGCCTCCGCCTGTTGCCAGTGCTGCCATGTGAGCATCCCATGAGCCAGGCAGCTGCACAGCAAATTCAGATTGCCTGCTTCCCCCCTCCATGCCCCTGCCTGTTGCCGGTGCCGCTGTGCAAGCCTCCCATGAATCTCCCGCAAGTGAGATGACCACGCAATGCGTCCGGATCATCTGCTTTCTTCTGCCTCCACGCTCGGACTTACCTGCACTACATGGGCACACCATCAGCCCCCATGTGCTCGCCACCTCCTGTGCTAGTCACGCCCACCTCCAGGCTTATTTTGGGGGTAGGGCTTATATTAGGAACACACTAAAAATTCAGGCTAGGGCTTATTTTCTGAGTGGGTCTTATTTTTGGAGAAATACCGCAGTATATGCTGAGCAAGAGAATGCCTGCATCCTACTGATACTACCTACTTCCTCTCCATCTGCTGCCAGTGCTGCTGTGCAATCCTCCCATGAGCCAGACGGTTGCGCAGCACATCCGGATCGCCTGCCTCCCCCCCACCTCTGCCTTCATGCTTGGATTTACCTGTGCTGTGCCAAGGGGCCAGTGATCTCTGGCTGCTGCTGGACACTGTCGCTGCCTTTTGTGCATGTGCTGGGGGGGGGAGCGCCCAGCCAGGCTGATCACCCTGATACCATGTTTCCCCCAAAATAAGCCCTTGTGCATCTTTTGGTGCAAAAAAAAAAAAAAAATGTATGACCAAGTCTTATTTTCAGAGAAACATGGTAGTAAGAGATTTATTTGCCAACAAGATATATAATTAGGTATGTTTCAAATTACTATTGCATTGTTTACAGCTGATGAATGATAAAAAAGTAGTTGATAGACATAGCAGCACATGTGAATGTAATTCTCTCCACTTGTTCCCTCTTTTCGTGGTCCCTAGACAAGAACACCTGAATAAGAGTTTTCAATCTTTTTATGTACATTCCTGTTTCCGTGCTTAGGTGCTAAATTTCCCATCAAATGGACTGCCCCAGAAGCTGCTCTGTATGGTCGGTTCACTATCAAGTCAGATGTTTGGTCCTTTGGAATACTCTTGACAGAACTTGCCACCAAAGGCCGAGTGCCGTATCCCGGTAAGTGTGTGTTCACTTTTGATATAGGTGCCAAGAGCTTCAAAAACAGCTGTAGGGAACTCTCTCTATCTACTATGATTTCCATGGGATAAAAATCTAATGAAGGAATACACTGTGAAGAAAGCCAGATAATTCATGAAAGAGGAGGCTAGAGTGTGATTGGCCATACTTAGCTATTGGTTCAGACTACACTTTTTTCCCTTTGAAAGGGGGGTCCTACTACTTACCATAAGTGATGAAGGCCAATCTATCTGAAAACAGGCAGTGGCAACTAAACCTCATCTCACCAGCTCTTCATCTCTCCCAATGCTGGATGGATTATTACCAGGCCAAAACACTTGTCAGAGTGCCAATCTGGCCTATCTAGAGCCCTGAATGTCCTTGTCAGGCATTTGCTTTTTCTATGGCACAACTAATCAAGCTGGAAGTCTCTGAACTGAAATGGAGTTTTGGGTAATATTGTTCTTCAGGGTTTTCATTCTGGCATGATGTCATGCCTTCCCGTAAGCCATTCTTGAAGGTCAGTCCGTAAAGGAAGCTTCTGAGCTTGACTTCCAGTCTTACTAAGCTTAAACTCAGGTTCTACAGTGCAAGCCCTCCTTCTTAAGATACAGCACAGCTTTCTAGATCCTTAGATGGAAAAATGAGAGAAGAAGCTATGTCATAACATTTTTTTTTGAACCTTTAAAATCGTCTTGGCAGCTTTTACCAAAGCTCTGATTTATAAAGATGTATCCAGAGCATGAGAGGGGAAAAAATCCCCATGCTCTGCAATGTCTGGATTTGTTTTAAAAGAAATATAGCAGAGTCAGTTAGGAAGGTTAAATGTAATACATTATTCTGCATTAACTAAAATACTAAGATGTTGCTGACTTCATATATTATAAAGTATTTGTCAATATTCACCCTTTTTTAAATTAGATTTTGATTTCTTTTCTTGGGTAACTTTTCAGTGTGTTGTTGTTCCCCTTTATTCAGTAAGCCAATTTTGACAAAAACTGAAACTCACAGTTTAAAGATTACCATGTTATCCACCTACAGACTTTGCAATTCCCTGCCTGCACATATTTTTCAGTTTTAACAAATGAAAGGAATTGTAGAATTTGGATTCTTGCAGAGTTCTTTAAGCAATAAAAATACTTAGGAAGCAGAACTCAGCATAGTGTGTGGATAGCTTTTGTAAGGGGATGTTGAAGATGGCTGCTGCTGCTGCTGCTTGATACCCAGTGTGATCTCTTAAACTAGGAGGCATTATTAGTTGGTGACTCACAGAATGTTTTCCTAGATTTTGAATGCAAAATCAAAGTCTACTTCAGAAAATATTATTGTGCCATGGTAACCTCTGAGGAAAGCTCTTCTTGAATAGTACTTAAGCAGTGGCTGGATAGCCATCTGTTCTGGATATGTTGGCATAGAGCAGAGAATTAGATAAGATGACTTTCTTGGCACTTCCAATTCTGTGCTTATTAGTTAAGAAGAATCATAGAAACGTAAAGTTGAAAGGGGCCTGTTTAGGGTAAAGCCCTGTTTAGGGTAAGGCTTTAATACAAATTGAAGCATTCTTGACAAATGTCTAGTTTCAGCTTGGACACACCCAATAAGGGGAACATATCACTTCTCTGTAATCATTACTGAAATGTTTATACCATTGGAAAGAGCTCACATAATTAGCAATGCCTGTGTATATTTTGATTGGAGAGTATACTATTTGATTCCAACAAAATAAAGAAGAACAAAATTATGAAACCAGAAACAATTTCAAGTATTTTCCCTTATATACTAGATACATTAAGAATCTCTCTCTTTCTTCTTCTTCTGTCTCTATCTTTCTCCATTTTTGTATCATAGGCATGGTGAATCGGGAAGTCCTAGATCAAGTGGAACGAGGCTATCGGATGCCCTGTCCACCAGAGTGCCCAGAATCTCTACACGATCTGATGTGCCAGTGCTGGAGAAAGGATCCTGAGGAAAGGCCAACCTTTGAATACCTCCAAGCTTTCCTGGAGGATTACTTCACATCAACAGAGCCCCAGTATCAGCCAGGCGAAAATCTATAGGTCTGAGGATTGGATCAGTTGCCAGAAGACTTTATGCTGCTCTAATGGCAAGTGTGCTCTAGAGAGGAACTTTTGAGTCATATTAGGACTCCTATTGGAGTACTAGCCAGGGTGTTTTTGTCATTCTGACAAGTTGCCCTTCTTTTTAAGGATTGCACCAATTACTTTATCATACAAATGTAGTTAATGAAAGCCTTGATGGATTGTGAGTGAACAAAGTCTCATTTCAATTTGAAGTTGGTTGTAGTACAGAAGAGGAGTTTCAGGAACACCCAAACTTTCTGCAAAAGAAAAGATCAAGTAGGAGCAAGGATCCTACTCCTGAAGGTCACTTATTTTCAGGATTGTGTCCTCCATAAAAACCACTCTTGACTATGATTAGAAGAAATTGCCATCAGGACAATCCTGCATTTGATGCAGGACCATCCTGCATCAAAGCACTTGAGTCATTTCTGATTGAATTCTGATGATAAAGAGGTATGCCTTTCAGACCGTCGTGGCTTTTGTTCTTCTTTATGGACAAAACCAGCACAATTTCCCTACTCGTATTCAAATGTCTGGATCAAGGCTGACTGAATCCAAGGAAGAAAAAATGTAGCTCGCTTATATTGTGGACACTGCACATTTCGTGTGTTTGTAATCCTCTCCTTTTTATTTTTATTTGACACCATTTTCTTCTGTGCCACTGTCTATCCAGTCTTGTCCTGTTCGTGAGGTGCCCTTGCCAATCTTAGCCATATAATAGGTTGAACTGGATGTATTTGGTTTGTTTAGAAAATGTGTTGTTCTTTGCCTTCTGGCTGTAAATGAAGTAAAGGACATTCTTGGGGAAACTACCCAGCATTTGTACCCAACATATAATATCATAAAGCAAATAATGATCCCCAAATTGTTCAGGACAGTGAGCTAGATCTTGGACTGGAGGCTTGTCTTCCCATCTAGCCCTTTAATTCAGTAGATAGCTGAAGATTATCAATTTCTTCAGCCTGTAAAAAAAATCCTTCTTTCCTCTACCCATACTAAACTGCTACGCTGTTAATGCCAGTCTTCTGCCTAGGAGATATTAGTCTTTCACATAGCATTCTATAAATTCTTTAAGCACACACTTAGGTCACATCACTGCCTTTTAATTTTAACCCAGTCTGGGATTCCTCAGTGCCTTGGAAGCATAATACTGCAGCAGGAAGTGGCCTGTTGTATTTACTATCTAGTATTATAATCATGGTGTAATAACTGCTTCAATGGCCATCCACTTTTTTTGCCATGATGTATGATTGAGCAACCTGCACTGGAAGAACAAAAGTAAAAATACTCAAATAAATGATTTAGCAAATCTTTGGCCTCTGTATGAAGATATAATGATGGTGCTTGGTAGAAGTCATTTGGTAGCTAGCTCCACAATTTGATAATGTAGGTAATATACCCAGAAGGACCTGTACACTGGCATACTGGTCCAAGCCAATTGTCTGGACCAATATGTCATCCCAAGCTATTTTTTTTAACCACTGGGAAAAATAAATAGAATCTCTTATATTTACTGTGAAAATAGCCGGGAAGGTTTTAAACACTAACACACATCTCTGTACACACACTCTCTCACACACATATATTTATATATACACACAACGGGATGTTCCTTTGCTCATTAGAAAAAATACAGTACACATAACTGCATTTACTTATAGTGTGGCCATAAGACTCTTTGCTTGTGGATATTCACACCTTACTAGACCCTTTTTTTGCTAATTTGTTACTTTCCATGACCCCGTAAAGACAGCAGTTTGCATCCATGTAACAAGATGTAGCTTACATTTAGATTTGTGCATACACAGTAGAAATTGACTTACATCTTTGTTATAGGCTTATTCCATCCTATTCAAAAAAAGGATAGGCAGCAAACTGAACATGGCCACTATTTATAAACCAAGTGTCATAGTGATTTTGCTCAATGACATTTACCAAGAGGAGAAAAATGAACGGAGTTCCACTTGGCTTGCTACACCATGCCTGTTATATTTGCCAAGAAATCTGCATCCCGAAACAGATATAAGAACAACAGCTGGTAAGACTAGCCTGAGACACTGTCTGGGAGCAGGCAGATATGTTCAGTCCCAGTAGCATTAGGGCAAACCAAACAGTGCATTCTAGATTCATATTACATGACTTTTCTGTAGGTTAGGCTATGGCCTTAAGCTGAGGCTGAAGAAATGTTTTAAAATACAAGTTGACTACTATCTTAAACAAGAAAAATTTCATCAGTGGAATGTGGACCTCTCCATGTTTTTCCTCAAAGACGTTCTTACACTGGAACTAGAAACCTAGATTTATAGAAAAAAATATTGATGGGAGAGACTTAAAGTCTCTTTTGAAGCCGACATAGCAAGACTCACACTTAGCTGTCCACATTGGCAGAATCAGATGAGAAGCAACTTTGTGTAAGCAATATTTATATTGGTTATCACTAGACTAGACTGGACTAACAATTTTTTCCTTCATGAAACTTGTGAGTCATATATATTGTATTGCTGATCTCATTCTCTAGAATGAGTGTTTTGACAGCTGAGATCCCAAGCCTACAGTCCAAGAAACAGCTCCTTTCCTATGGAGACCAGAAATTAGAGGTGGCTTTGGGGCAGCCTTTGGAAACCTAGTTGGCAATGCATACAATTTTAAGTGAGAAAAATGCAAAGAAAGCCAGTCCAGCCATCTTTACTAATGTGTCTAGCTGAGTCCAGTGAAGATCTCTGCAAAGAATTAAATCCAAGGAGTAACAGCAATCCAAGCCATATGTAAACATATCTGCCTTTTGTTGCAACAATTTTGTTGCCAGTATGGTACAAAAAACTCTTTTGCAGTGCACCAGCTTTGTCTTACTGGGAGAATTTCTTACCAGCTGTAAGATAGCCCTCTTTTGTATATAATCCTTGAGTCAACCAAGCAAGTGGTACTTGGTGACTTTGGATGTCAGCTTAAGTGCATGTTTTATTTCCAAAATAAGAAGAATGTTTGTTACAATTGTATTTAGCTGGAAATTATTATCAGCCGGCCATCACTTGATCTTATTTTTCCATGTCTAACTTTTTGATGTTATCTGATGTGCCAAAAACAAACAAACAACAACAACCCTCCAACAGCAAAAACTTTTTTATTCCATGATGAACTAGCCTTCATGATTAATTTATGTCAAAACAAAGAAAGTACTTCCAAAAGTTTATATGTTGTTTGCTCTAGTCAAGTAGATACCTGACTTGTTTCTTCTTCCATTCTTGTTGATGTCATCTTGTATGTTAGAATGATATGGTGTCTTGCGGGGGGGGGGGTTGTTGTTGGTAGTATTTGTTTAGAACGGTCCAAAGTTGAGATCTCATACCTCTGCCTTATGCAGAGAAGTGTGTCTTTCTCACAATTATATATTTAGAACATAGAACCTCTATCAGTGCTTCAGTTAATATTCCCAAAGTTTATTTCGTTTTCCAAGAAATTATTTTCATCAGAGAACTACAGAGCATAGTTGAAAAAGCACCAAAAATGATTTGAATTGGTGACCAGGTTTCACATGCTTCGTCTTAACTCAAAACTGCTCTTTTTAGGAAAAGGGATCTGAGACAAGGTATAATTCCTATAATTTGCACAAGCTCTTTCCCCAAATAGTTCAAATTCAAGTTTTTTCTGACATTGAGGATGTCAATATCCTTTTTAGACAATAGAGCCAAATCTGTTTATTATGCCAAGCATGTCTATGTACCTCAGGACCTCAAAATAATAATTGACTGCAGCAATAGGTATAGACTTTAGCAATGGCTTCTCATGGGTAGAACAATGGGAGGGGCCCATGACTGTTCTCTTAGTTACATGCCAAAATGCCTATCTCCTGCAGAATGAAACTCCTATTTGCATTGTGTTGAGAACAGGGTACAATTTGCTTTCTTTAGTATGACCAGGGTATGATGCTGTGTCAAACGATCAAAACTCTTTCTTGCCTTTGTTAGTAATATGCCTTGCCTATTTTTTTCTATTTGTACTTGCAAATTCCATTATTTTTCCTGCTCCTTTTTGAAATCTCTGATTGATCGATGGGGCATTCTTGTACAATCTCTCATCAAATGAGAAAGCAGTTTAATCAGGAATGGAGACTGTGCCTTTCCACATCTCTAAACTTTTTGATTTCTTTCTTTCTCCTTCCAAACAGAACACATCTTGCTTTGTACCTCCTTCCATCGCTGGGACCAGAATGACTTTCTGACTTTAGCCATTTTTTTCAGAATTCCAATGTGCTGAAATAAATCCTAATTACCATTTTCCTTTGTTAAAACAAAATTGTTCAATCTAAAACACTAGCTATGTATTACAAGGCAGTTTGCTTAAAACCTTATCTGGTGTCTAGTTCTCTACATTCAGGATTGGTTGGGAAGTCAGTTATTCCTAGCAACTCCTACCTACTGTCTGAGAATTAACTTCATAAAATCTTTGTTACATTTCCTCATGTATAATACTGCAGTTAAAAAAAAAGTAGAGCATTTCGTTTGTGAGCAGGACTTGCATTTGTGTCTTCATGTTGTACGTTCTGGGGTTGGGTGGGCATATTTAGTAAAAGATGGAGCAATTGTTTTAAAGGGGATAATCCTTCTTTCCAAGGAAATCCCATTTGTGTTAATATTGCTATGTAATTAAATTTGGAGATGAGCCTTTTTTGCCAATAAGGAACAAGAGTACTGCTTTTTCATCAATACCTTTTGTATACCATACTTGATTAAAGTCTGCCATCACAGAGAAATAGCTTCTTAACAAATGCAAAATGGAGCACATATCAATTTCTGAAAACTTTTACTGTGGGAGCTAAAACCAACGTGTGCATATATGACTGTGTACATGTATAGATACTAATGTGTAAAAATGACCATTTTCCAAATATGTACCGTACATTTTTTAAAAAGTCAAGATTTAGGTCAGTTTAAAATTGCAGATTTCTTTCCTGATTTTGGTGTAGCAATAATGATGATGAATACTAATTTAAATGAACACCATGTTTAGTTTCTTTTCTTTTTTATTAAGGGCAAATTTTTGAAAGAAAGAAATGGCTGATGGTTCCCTTTTGTAAAATCATCACTTCCTTTATTCATGCATGATGTAGTCTTTGACCCAGAGGCAAGAAACCAGATCCCCACAGTAAGGATCAGAGCCTGGCTGACCTCTGCAATTAATTCATGAACTGAAGAAAGTATTAAACAAACTTCTTGTGTTGGCTTTGTCATTCCTTATTCATTTTGCTTTGAGAATGCCCATCAGAAAGGAATCTCAGAATGGGCTCTGCTGTTGTATGAAGTTTAAACTCATCTGACTATGGATTTTTTTTGCTATTATATTTTTTTATGGAAACACACACATTTTGTAAAATCTCAGTTACTATGCAGAGAATGTGATGATCTCTCTCTCCTGCCCTTGCCTTTTTGGTGTCTGAAATCTAACTCCTTTTTAAAAATAAAATGTTTTGAAATATTAAAACTCCTAAATGTAGGAAGGTGAAAGTCCTCTTTTAATTCAGTGGCATACTTTTATTTCTTTTTCACACAACATAAAAACATAGTTTTGTTGAATAAAGGTACATGGCGCCACTTAGAAATGCAGACCACAAGTTCTAGTATAGTAATCCCGTATACCTGTGGGAGGGAGGGATGTCTCAGACATATTTTTTTTATAATTAGACAGCAGCCATATTTTGATAAATTCACTATTTTAGTATGTAGCATGATAGCAATAGCAATTAGATATATATACTGCTTCATAGTGCTTTACAGCCCTCTCTAAGGGGTTTACAGAGTCAGCATATTGCCCCCGACAATTTGGGCCCTCATTTTACTGACCTCGGAAGGATGGGAGGCTTGAGCCAGTGAGGATCGAACTGCAATTCTTTAATAAATTTTTATTTTTTATTTTTCCAAACTCTCCCCCATACATATACCGTGATATTTATCAGATGTCAACATACATTCTTTTTACATTCATATATAAGATACTTTTGATAAAATGAAATAAATACATACACATGACTTTTGGTGTTGCTTGCCCATTTTCCCTTTCACTGTATCCACATTCCTTCTTCTCTACCTTCTTTCTTCCTTTCTTGTCTTCCCTACTTTCCTCTTCTTCCTCTCCTCTCCTCTTTCCTTCACCACTTCTCCCCACTTCTCTTCTCCAACCTTCCTACTTCTTTCTCCCCTCCTTTACTCTTTTCTCTCTCCTCTCCTTTCTTCCCTCTCACCCCTCTTCAGATACAATTCAGGGGTATTGTCCGAGCAACTCCTCTCTCCAAATTTCCCTATCTGTATTATATACAATAAGATTATTTTTTCTTACATTAATATTTCTATTTATCTAACCTTCTCGTTATATACTTCTATAAATATTTATACAACCTCCAGGGATCGAACTGCAATTCTGCATTCTAACCAGCAGGGCTCCTCATGATTGTGGCTTAATATAGTTTGAGCCTAATGGTATAATGGTTAAACAAAATAGCAGAATATAAAGGCGGGCTGCATATGCTTTGTCCCTATCTCTTCCACAGGCCTTAGAAGATTTCCAAAGCAAGCAAGACTAAATATTTTGGTAAAATGAGGGTGGGGATGGATTAAGGACAAAACTGGGTGCCTTAAGCTTTGCTGAGTTTGAAGACATTGCACCCCAAACCTCGCCAATATAGTTAAATTGATCCCACCCATTCAGGTGCCATCACCTGAGATCTTCAACAGCTAACTTTTTTTTAATGCAGCAACTGATTTAAGAAAGTTGTACACTCCTGCCTTAGAATGAGATGACAAATCAAATGAGTGCCACTTCTTCTGTTGTGAAAATAAACACAATGAATATTGCAAAAATGACTAAAATGATGGCGTCATGTAATTAGAAGAGGTCATTTAAGTCACCAAATCCAAGAATCTTTCTGTTTTGGAATCCTAACCTTAAATGTGCTGAAGAGAGTAGTGTAACTTGAATAAAAAGGGGCAAATAGACTATTAAAGTCTTTCTAAAGACTTTAAACTGAGACACTGAAATTAAACTGAGACACTGAAATTCAGTGTAGACTGTTGTCTAGATTAGTGAGTCCTATTCTACTGCATGTAGATGAGAGCTAGTCTGAACTCTGAAAATGACAATTTGCCTGCTTCAATTTCTTATCCTCCCAGTTTTGAGCTCTGTATAATCCATACAAGGTTCCTCCATTGAGCTGTACATGTTGCATGTTTATTGCAGTTTAGCCCAGTGAAGCATTACCAGAGGTATTACAATGATTAATTCTGGAAATCTGCCAGCAAGGCAATTGGCCCTGGAATCCCAGCTATCTACGGTATTGGATTAGGGATAGCTATTTTAGAACAATTGATAATAACATATGTGGGATGACTTGTGCACAAGTAATACTATATAATTTACTTTTGTAGAAGTACTGTTTGACTGTATATCTTATTCTTAGAAAGATCCCATCATTCAGAATATTTTTCTTTAATTCAGTGTACCCAGAAATTAACTGGTAGAATCCAGTTCATGTTTTCAAATCAATTTTATCCATTTATTTAATAGCTTGGATATTGACTAATCTTTCATTTACATGCACACAGACACACACGGAGCATAATTAAGCTACACATACTGCAAAGGAATCGTAACATTTTTCTCATTCTTCATACATACCCTTCTGTACAAGCTCTCATTTTTGAAAAGTATTCAGCCAATCCATCTCTATTCGCTGCTTACCTTATGTCAGCCTAATTTGGCTTTTCTGCATCTCTGATCTCAGGCTACATGTTTAAAACTTTGTACTATAAAACCACTTATAAAATGAAAGGATATTTTTTTCTCATTCTTTTTCAGCTTCTGGGTAAGTCTGTAACACATGAAGTGATGCCTTCATCACTGGTATAGTCTTTTCTACTTGGGAACAAGTAAAGAGGATTTCTGCTAAGCATACTTTTCTTGAAATCTGAAAAAGCATGATCTTGGGAAGAAAGTCAAGCACAATATTTAACATAACTTTTTTTTTTTATTAAAAAGAGGGCCTTTTCTAACCACCTAGGAGTAGCTATTATAGAATAGAATAGAATAGAATAGAATAGAATAGAATAGAATAGAAGCTGGAAGGGACCTTGGAGATCTTCTAGTCCAGCCCCCTGCTCAAGCAGGAGAACCTATATCATTTCAGACAAGTGTCTGTCTAGTCTCTTCTTAAAAATCTCCAGTGATGGAGTACCCACGATTTCTGGAGGCAAGCTGTTCCACTGGTTAATTGTCCTCACTCTCAGGAAGTTTCTCCTTAATTCCAGGTTGCTTCTCTCTTTGACCAGTTTCCAACCATTGTTTCTCATCCTTCCCTCTGGTGCTTTGGTGAATAACGTGATCCCCTCTTCTTTGTGGCAGCCCCTCAAATACTGGATTACTGCTATGTCTCCCCTATTTCTTTTCTTTAGACTAGCCAAACCCAAGTCCCGCAGCCATTCTTCGTATGTTTTAGTCTCCAGGTCTTTGATCATCTTAGTTGCTCTTCTCTAATTTTTTTCCAAACTCTCAACATCTTTTTTGTGATATGGTGACCAAAATTGGTTGCAGTATTTATTCCAGGTGTGGTCTTACTAGGAGTTTATAAAGCGGTACTAATACTTTGCATGATCTTGATTCTATGCCTGTGTTTATACAACCCAGGATTATATTAGTTTTTTTGATTGCTGCTGCACACTGCTGGCTCATAGTCAAGTGATTGTCCATTAGGATTCCAAGGTCCCTCTCACAATTACTGTTTTTAAGCCACTTTTCTTTGAAGAACTTTCCACATCAGTTTATATACCGTATGTTAATCTTCTAAGTGCAATGAATGCACTTTTGGAAGGGTTAAAAGAACAGGTTAGGGAAAGATCACTGTCATGGAGAAAAATCTATGTGGCTGCTAAGATTGGAAAACAAATTGATGGCACTCTGATATAAAGATGTAAACAGAGGCACAGAGGTAGAAAAGGTTTTTAAATTATTAAATCTACATTATGAAAACATATGCCAACTTCCCATAAGCTGAAGCCACAAAAATAATAAACATCACTTTGAATTTTAATTTAATTCACTTAGGTAAAAATTAATTCTTCATCTTTTATTAATGGATCTGAACAATCCAAAAAAGGGAACTCACCACCTCTCTGATTAATTTCACTGTCAAACTGCAGTTAGAAAATCATTTTTAATATTTAATCAGAATTTGCCTTTTCGTAATTTTATCCCATTATAGATAGCCCTTGACTTATGATGCTGACTGAGCCCAAAAATTCTGTTGCTAAATGAGGTAGTTAAGTGAATTTTGCCCCATTTTATGACCTTTCTTGCCACAATTGTTAAGCGAATCACTGCAGTTGTCAAGTTAGTAACATGGTTAAGTCAATCTGGCTTCCCCATTGATTTTGCTTATCAGAATGTCGTAAAAGGTGATCACGTGACCCTGGAACACTGCAACTATCATAAATATGAGTCAGTTGAATTTTGAACACATGACCGTGGGGATGCTGCAGAGTCATAAGTGAAAAACAGTTCACTTTTTTCAGAGTTGCTATAACTTTGAATGGTCACTAAATGAATTGTTGTAAGTCAAGGACTACCTTTATTTTGTCTTTTGCACTGGAATTAGAACAGAATAGAATAGAGCTGGAAGGGACCTTGGAGGTCTTCTAGTCCAGCCTCCTGCTCAAGCAGGAGAACCTATACATTTCAGACAAGTGACTGTCTAGCCTCTTCTTAAAAATCTCCAGTGATTTTTGAAGGCAAGCTGTTCTGAAGGCAAGCTGTTCCACTGGTTAATTGTCCTCATTGTCAGGAAGTTTCTCCTTAATTCCAGCTTGCTTCTCTCTTTGGTCAGTTTCCAACCATTGTTTCTTGACCTGCCCTCTGGTGCCTTGTAGAATATGTTTTACTCTACAGGCCTTTGATCATTTTAGTTGCTCTTCTCTGAACTTTTTCCAAGGTCTCAACATCTTTTTTGTAGTATGGTGACCAAAATTGGATGCAGTATTCCAGGTGTGGTCTTACTAAGGCAGTGGTGGCAAACCTATGGCACATGTGCCAGAGGCGGCACTCAGAGCCCTCTCGTGGGCACGCATGCCATGCCCTGGAAATGGCGAGGGACTGGCCCCCGCTACCCTGGCCCCGCCCACCCAGTCAGCCATGACCACTGTGGCCACGCCCACCCGGCACCTGGTGATAAATAAGTGGGTTTTGGGTTGCAATTTGGGCACTGGGTCTCTAAAAGGTTTGCCATCACTGTACTAGGGTTTTACAAACCAATATTAATACTAGGATCAGGAAAGAATAGATCTTGACCATCTTCTTTGAAAAGATCTGTCTCCTTGCTGAGGAATCTTCCAAAGTCCTAATATCTTGGATCACTAGGATATTCTGCTGTCCTAGCAGAATGTATGCAATCTGTTGTATAAAATCTTTGGCTAACTTTTCTTAATAATGACTTCATTACTAGA